AATCTAAAATCTAACATGATATGAATTGTAATTATAAAATGAATATAAGGGTAATTTCATTTGAATGTAGATTTAGAAATATATTTTAAATTAGTTGTAAACTTTATAAATATTAAAAAGTAAAATCATAAAATTTTTCATGAATATGTAATTAAAATTTAAAAATTCCACTGACATGAAATTTCCCTATAATATATTCAATTTTAATTAATAAACTTAACTTGTAAGTTCTATTTGGTGAAGTTGTTTTAGGGTAAATCTCATGTAAAGTTTTTTGTCACAAATTTTTTTTCCAACTGTTTTTATCGTTAGAAGATTAAGTCATCAATTAAATTAAAAGGGGATGAACCTGACATGTACTAATGCAAAAACTTAATGATTTGGCCAAATTTTATCTTTTTTGTATTTTAAATTTTAAAATGTCATAATTTCATATTACACATCTATTTTTTTTATATATATAAATGTTTTAGATTTGCAAACTAAGAAATTTTTAGTTTCGTACAACTAAAAAATAACATTTTTTTTTTACAAAATTTTATATTAAATATGATCTTATTTGATAAATATTGTTATCTAGATTCCATAAATATAAATTTATGGAATTTTAAAGTTTTGAAACAATATGAAAAAAAAAATGCATACCAACATCTTGAAGTGAACTCAATTTAATTAGGAGAAGTTATTTAGTGCTGCTAGGGTCACTACAAGAAAATGCATGTTTAGCGACTAAAATTGGCGACCAAACCAATTTTAGTCACCAAAAACACCACATTCAGCGACAAAAAAACAGCTTTAGTCACCATTGATTCAACCTTTTTAGCTACTAAAGTATTTTAGTCGCCATATAGTATAATTGGCGACCAAATTTCCATTTAGTCGCTGTTTAAGAGCAGTTTAGGCTACTAACATTTAATTTTGTCGCCGTATTGTATCATTTGGCGACTAAACACTTTTGTCGCCAAAAAATGGGCATTTTTGTGATTACTTTTTGCGACCAAATCTGGGTTAGTCGTTGTTTATTCAGTATTGCCGACGATTTTTTTAATTTAGTAGCCAAAGAGGCATCTTTAGGTGACCAATTGTTTGTCGCCGTTAAGGTTTTTGGCGACAAATAATCGTTTAGTCACCAAATGTTCAAAAAAACAATTATAGGGAAAATAAGTAATTTTGCGCCCAGTACATATATATTACACACAGTTTTTTTGTTCTCTTCTGTCTCACACACCGACATCAACATACCAAACCCGTCCCTACCAAACCCGTCGCTCACCACCAGCGATCATCACCATCGCAGGCCACCGGCGCTCGCCACGACCACCACTGCAAATCGGCGATCAGCACTACCGGCCATCATCACCATCGCAGGTATGTTTCTGTCGTCTCTTTCCTTCTCTGTCGATCTGGTTCGATCTGTTTGTCGATGTCTCTCACATCCCCTTCTCTCACGATTAATTTTAGGGTTTGACATTTCATTTCCCTTTATTTCGTACACAAATTTGTGGAGGACTATCTGGTTCTATCTGGAGGACATTTCATTTCCCTTTATTTCGTACACAAATTTTAGGGTTTGTCATTTCATTTCCCATTTATTTCGTACACAAATTTTTAGGACTTTTCCTGATTTCGTGAATGGGTGTGGTTGAAATTGCGATTGTCCATTTGGATTTTGGATTGTTGATTTTGGATTCTGTTTGTATCGTTTAAATGTGCCTCTATTTCTGTGATTTCTATGTTCCAAATGTGCCTCTGCTTTTTCTCCCTTTCAGGTTTTACCATGCTTATGACAACTATATGACTTATGCTTTTCCGGTCAGTTCTAGTTCCCACTATATGAGATATTATTTATATTTGATGAATATTATGAAGTTGTGGTCTATTGGTTCTGTAGCATGATGAACTAAAGCCTCTAGCCAAAACATTCACCGACTCCCTTGTCGAGCTAGGAAATTTGAAGGTAATTATTTATTTTTGAAATCTGTTGCAGTGTTCAGCTTTAAATGGATAATTTAAAATACCTACTGTTTCAAATTTTAGCTTGAACATTTGCCACAACAGCATCAAGGATCTGCCCTCACACTTGTAGAATCGCTATCCAGGTATGATATACTCTTTCTTAGAGACAAGTTCTTAAAAATCAATGTAGTTGTATTTTTATCTTATATGCCCTTCTTATGCTGTCACCAAATATCTTTTTATTTCATTTTTTTTCAATATTATTACTGATTGTGCCACTGAAGTATTTGTAACAGAGTATATGTTAATACTGTTTCTGTTTCTCAGTCTTGTTATCATTGGGGAACAACACAGAATTTGAAATGGGCTGTTCTTTGGCTTTCTGAAAATCTAACTTTTGATGTTGATGCGAGGATACATCTTTTTGAGGTATTTTAATTTTTTTCATTTGGGATTTAGTGAAGTTGTTTGAGTCAAAGTTTCATTTAATGTGGCCTCAGTTTGCTAATGAAATAAAACTTGAGCAATGTCGCTTTTTCTTTTTCTTTTGTTTTATTCTTTAGCAGGGAGTGCTAAATCAAGTTGCATTTGAAGTATCAGATTGTCTTTAATGGTGTTTTCACTATTGTGTAGTGCAACATAAGAGTTCTTGGAGGACTTGTTTCTGCTCATATTCTTGCAACTGATTCTACAAACAACTTGGTCCAAAGAAATTATAAGAATCAACTTCTTATCCTGCCTGAAGATTTACGGCGGCGCTTTCTACCTGTTTTTGATACCCCCACTGGATTGCCATATGCATGGATTAACTTGAAGGTACTTCTTATATCATGCTTAACTTATAAGACAAATTCCAATTCCCCAATTGTTTACAAATTGTTATGTATCCAAGATGTTTTATTTAACCTGGTAAAGTAGCTTTGAATTTTTTGTATCTCTTTAGAATCATCAATGGTGCTTTGCATTTGCTATAGTACCATGGTTTCAAATGTTTACATTGTGTTAGCGTTAACGTTTGGGAATTTTGTATACGTATACTATGTGGAACTCATGCCATATTGACTGTACGATGATATTTCCATTGTGTTAGCGTTATTTGTCACACTTAAGTATCTGATCAATATCACTTATATATTCATAAGTTTTTACCCCTCTTCTCTTGCAAACACTTGAGGTATCACTTATATATTCATAAGTTTTTACCCCTCTTCTCTTGCAAACACTTGAGGTTGATTTCTACAGGTGAAAATAATTTCTTTAAAAGTTAGCCTCAGTTGAGAAATCTGTGGCCACCACATAAGAAATTAGGATTACAAAGTCTGATTAACATACCAAATTGTACGAAAAACTTGAGGTTTACACTGTCATTGATTTCTATAGTTGAAAATAATTTCTTTAAAAGTCAGCCTCAGTTGAGAAATCTATGGCCACCACATAAGAAATTAGGATTACAAAGTCTGATTAACATACCAAACTGTACGAAAAACTTGAGGTTTACACTGTCATTGATTTCTATAGTTGAAAATAATTTCTTCACAAGTCAGCCTCAGTTGAGAAATCTGTGGCCACCACATAAGAAATTACGATTACAAAGTCTGATTAACATACCAAACTGTACGAAAAACTTGAGGTTTACACTGTCGTTGATTTCTATAGTTGAAAATAATTTCTTCACAAGTCAGCCTCAGTTGAGAAATCTGTGGCCACCACATAAGAAATTAGGATTACAAAGTCTGATTAACATACCAAATTGTACGAAAAACTTGAGGTGGGACAATAATAGAATGGCAATGGCCAATGTAAGGCACCAAACCATATTCTAACTACATTTCATTTGTCTAGGCCCTCAATAGGCTTGGGCCATCTCTAGTTCTTAAGTGCTCCTGTGATATTGTTTAGTGTCAAAATTAGAGTGAAAAATCAGCTTGTCTCTAGTTGTTGAGATATTGTTTAATATCAAAATGAAAGTGAAAATATTTTGAAAATATGTGAGAAAGAGTTTTAAAAGTAGCAGACAAAGTGTTTCTGAGATTGATAAAATTTATTGTTTGTTTCTGATGTTGTAACTTTTTTGTGGTAATCTAAATTGAGAATATGACCTATGCAATAATAAATAAACCCATTTTATAATGACAAGAGAGTCACAGTGGCCATTGTTGATGTTCCAATCTAAATGTATCAACGGTTCAATCCTTCTTTTTACAAGAGACTCACAGTGGCCATTTTTAAATTTTTTCAATTTTCTTTTTTGTTAGATGATGGTTACAAGGATCTCCATTTCTACATGTGCATCATGTGTGTTTTGAACTCCTAGTTTATGTACTTAGAATAATGATATATAAACAATGTTTTTATAAAATTAAATAAAAATATTCATAATGATGTAACTTCTTGTAATCATTTTATTTTCAATCAAAATGTCCATAATTATTTTCATAATTTTATAAATGTCATTGATAGATTATTGTGGATCTAGTTTCTATATAAATTTTTTGTTTATAAATCGTTTTATAAAGTTGATATATGTATATTTACGATTTAAAGGTTGATTTGGTAGGAATAGAATAAAGATACAAATACTAATCCAAGAAGCTAGAGTGAGAAGAAAATTTGATAAAGATTAATGATTTCTTATAAGCTTTGTCATTTTGTTAGGATGATGGAAATTTAGCTTTTGTCCTTAGAGACAATTTAAGTATTATGAAAATTATATATATAATAATTTTTAATCTCACTGATTTTAATAAATTTTATTAAATTTGGTTAGGATTATTTCTCTCCGTCTAAGATGACTCCACATAGAATTGTGAATGTATGTCACATTTGTGTGTCAATACATGCCAAGTTAGTAGTGAAATTAGCCAACTATATGCAATTGACAAATTGGCAAAACATCCCGACCTGTTATTACTATTTTGTTAATTTCAAAAAACAATGCTAATCGAACCCCTAAACTTACTTAAGCTCTCTTCCATTACAGAGTATTTTTTGAAGTTGCCGTCCATTCGCAGGTTCATCTTCGCTTCATGTCTACTGTTCTAATAATGGACAAGAGTTGGATGATGATAACGGATAGGCTAAAAAGTAAAGAGTATGTACAAGGTGTTCAGTCATTTATTGAGTTCGCTACGAAGAATTTAGGGCCACAGGAGGAAATCCGTTGTCCTTGTGTTGATTGCTTGAACGGCACGAACTTACCTCGACATGTTGTACGGTTGCACTTGATTCGAAGAGGAATCGCATGTTCTTATCGAACTTGGGTCCACCACGGGGAACGTGTTCCCATGTTTCGTGCTCATCCTACTATGCGAAACGATGATACTCAAACCGATCGAGCTAGAATGACAAAGGTTCACGAAAATGTGGATGAACTTCCAACCATGTTACAAGAGATTTACATGAGTGGTCTCATGGATGATCATATCGACGAAGAACGTACTTGTTCGGAGAGGCACAATTTGTTAAAATTCATGAAGTTGTTCGATGATGCTCAACGTCAAGTATATCCACAGTGTGAAAAGTTCTCCATCTTGTCCTTCGTAATTAAGATGCTTCAGTTGAAGGTGTACAATAAATGGAGCAACAAATCTTTCGATATGGTTATGCAAGTTTTCAAAGACATTCTACCAAAGTGTGATAAAAATGTTCCATGGACCCTTTATGAAGCGAAAAAGTTCTTACGTGAGTTGGGTTTGGGATATGAGGCCATTCATGCATGCAAGAATGATTGTACGTTATTTTGGAAGGATAACGCCGCATTGGAGAATTGCCCTACATGTACCGAGTCTAGATACAAGTTGAACAACAAGACGGGTAAAAAAATTCCACACAAAATCTTGAGGTACTTTCCTTTGACACCGAGGTTGAAGAGATTGTACATGTCGAAAAAAACAGCTGCATATATGAGATGGCACAAAGATAAGCGTATGGACGATGGAGTATTGCGACATCCAGCTGATAGTGAGGCATGGAAGGACTTTGATAGGCTGCATCCTACGTTCTCTGCGGATCCTCGGAATGTACGGCTAGGGCTTGCCACGGATGGTTTCAATCCATTCGGACATATGAGTACATCGTACAGCATGTGGCCCGTAATCTTAATGCCTTACAATCTACCCCCATGGAAGTGTATGAAAGATCCATTTGTCATGATGTCATTGCTCATTCCCGGACGATCCGCATCTAGAAGGGACATCGATGTTTACTTGCAACCATTAGTAGAAGAGTTAACTAATCTGTGGGAGCATGGTGTGCAAACATATGATGCCTCAAACGGCCAAATATTTACAATGCATGCAGCAGTCATGTGGACCATCAACGATTTCCCTGCATATGGTTCCTTGTCTGGTTGGAGTACAAAATGTTACCTGGCCTGCCCTTATTGTAACATCGATGCATCATCTCAGAGTTTGCGAAGTAAGATTGGGTATATAAGTGCTCGGCGGTACTTACCTGAGAACCATATTTGGCGTAGAAGTAAGCTATTCAATGGGGAAATTGAGAATCGGTCCAAACCTGTGGAGTTATCGGGAGAACAAATATTGCAGCAAATTAATTTGGGGACGTACAAGCCGTATGGAAAGCATCCAACCAACCAAAAAAGACAACGGACTAAAAATCCAACTCCGAACTGGACAAAAAGAAGCATTTTGTTCGACCTACCCTATTGGAAAACACTTAAGCTTCGACATAACCTTGATGTCATGCACATAGAGAAGAATATATGTGACAATCTGCTTGGGACACTATTGAGCATTGATGGCAAGAACAAGGACACTGACAAAGCACGTTTGGATCTAGAGGACATGCGAATACGAAAGGAGTTACACTTGATAAGGCATGCGAATGGCTCTTTCCAAAAGCCTTCGGCATTGTACACATTGTCCCCGGCAGTTGATAAAGTTCTACAGCTACCTTTGTAAAGTGTGGGAACTGACATATTTGTTTAGACATCGGGTTGTTTTGTTCCAATGTGAATGGTATAACACCGGTAGTAGTCGAACTTTGCGCGTCGAACCACATGTGACAACTGTTGACGTAAGAAGTCGATGGTATAAAGATGATTCGTTTGTGTTCCCAAGCCAAGTTCAACGTTCCTGATACGAAGTTAGGGCTGAATTGGCGAGTCGTAGAAAAGTTTCAACATCGACGAATTTGGGATGTGCCAGAGCTGGATGTGCCAGAGTTTGATGAAGTGTTGCACGATGATGAAAATAGTACTGTTGTACCAACTCAGCCTATTGATGATGTTGTTGTTTTACGTCGGGATGACATTGAACCGCAAATTATTTCAATGGAAGTTTCTCAGTCCAATAAGCGTGTACAACCGGAGGGTGTTATGGATGATGCGTTTATCTGCGATGACGACGATGAACTAACAATCTCGGGTGATGACGAAGAAGATGAGATGGAAAGTGATTTTGATACAGATACGGACCTAGAGTTTTAACTTAGTTTGTTTCTTTGTTCGGCTTGTTTTGTTGATGTCATGGGGACAATTAAGAATATTGATGAAACTGTAATTTCAATTTCATGCCTACTCTTGAGTTTCATGTAATTTGAACCTTGTACTTTTAATTTCCTGTATGATTTCTATGAACTGTTACAGCAAATTGAAAATCATCAACATACTTAGTTCAGATTTTCCATTCGGACAGCTGTGCTATGTGGCTGCTTTTCCCACAATATGTGCAGATTTGCACAACTGCTCTGTCTCTGTTTGCTGAGTTTGACAGTTTGCCGCTGTGTGCTGTGTGCTGCTCTGTCTCTGTAACGTGTTGTGTGCTGCTGTTTGGTTGTTGGATTTTGCTTTCAAAATACTACTTTGCAATTACTTTATGTTGACGTAAGATTTTGGTTGGTGTCAATTCTTTTAAGCTAACATTCATGTGCTATTGCAACTTTTAAGCTAACATACATATATCCGATAGCTGACATGGCTGATGGAGACGACCTTTGTAATTGTATAAAGATTGTGTGAATAATGTATGGAAGTGTATGAATTGTGCAGGATTTACATGCTGCTGGGAAATTTGGTGGATCAAGTAGTGGTTGCAGTGTCTCAGGGGCCCTACATGGTGTAGGCTAATCTGTTGTTAATGCATTATCTGAGGTGCTAGTTTATTTTCTTATAACTTTATTTGGCCATTCACTTCAAGCTGGTTGAGATATGTATATATATTCATGGTTTTCTCTTTCGTTTTAATGTTGTTGGTTTTGGTGGGCCTTTGAGTTCCTTTATGTATCCTTGCACTAGAGTGGAAACATTTAAAATGATGGCCTTCATTTCAAGTTTCAAGTAATGATGAAATGAGCTTTATACATCAATGCTCTAATGTAAGAACAAGGTTCAGTAATGTTAGATTTTCTTGTTGATAAGCTTAGAGTTGTTGACTATAGAGTTCATGGCATTTGATAGAGAGTTAATGAGTATTTTAATGGAATAAGATTTGGACCTAAGGCTTGGATAAAATGAAATTACAAGAGGTACAATTTTCATTTCAATTCAGTGATGAAAAATAGTGCATCTTATCTTATTATTTTCAGATTTGGATGTCTAATCCAACTAGGTGGGCCAAAGTTTAGATTCAAAATAGGGCTCTCAGCAAATTCATAAGTAAAAATTCAGATTGGCCAATCTGAAGGGCCCAACCCAAAACGAGGAATTCGAGATCCAGAACAAACTCTTCTTTTCTCAGTCAGCCATATTAGAACTCGAGAGCAGCGACTCAAGCTCAGCTAGCGATCATCAGCGAAGACTCGAACAGCCATGTCCGCCGGTGAGTGCTTCCTCTCTCTCGCTTTCTCTCTCTTTCTTTATCAGATTTTAATGGAAGAACATAGTTGTTGCCCTAATTTAATCTCTAATTGTGTGCCCTAATATTTGTGCATTAATGGAATAATCTCTAATTTATATGCTTTAATGGAAATCTCTGATTTTGTTGGGCTCTAGTTTCTGAAAACATATTATTTGTCCTAATTTGTGTGCCCTAGTCTCTGTTTTGGTTTGCTCAAATTTGTGTGCCTTAATGGAGTAGCCTCTAATTTTTATTTTTGTTTGTACCATTTTACCCAAACTTTTGTTTTGAGGGTAAATATGTGAAAGGGCCCCTCTTAAGAGTTTGCCTAGGGCTTTTCTAATCTAACTTGAAAAGGGTTAATCAAACTTGAAAGGGGTTGTGTCCTGGGTTATGTTGCTTATGTAATATGTTAATGAATAAGCTAGTCATGTGCTTGTTGCAATGTATATGTTCATGGAAGTCTTCTTCCTGTGGTGCCTTGTTTATGTGCCTAGATTTTTGTTGATATGCCAACCTGTGTAAGTGTCTTCTTCCTGTGGTTACAGACTTCTTTAGGAGGTGTTTCTTGGTTTGAATCAGTTAACCACTAACCTTCATGTGAATTTGGGTGATTATTTAGAGGTGTGTTAGAGTGGCATTGTGTGGAATCCACAGTTTCAGAGGGCTTTCAAGGGCAGAAAGAAAGCATTTACATCTTGCTGAGACTGCTATAGCCTTATCACATGATATCAGTCCTCTTTACCATACACTTGAAGCCATTGCTACAACAACCTATCTCATTTACATCTTGCTGAGACTGCTATAGCCCTATGACAGCAGTCCTCTTTACCATACACTTGAAGCCATTGCTACAACTTCCTATTGTCTCTCTATCAATTTGCTCTCATTTTGAATTGTTATATCACACTAAACCTCAGCCTTGTGTTTTTCTCAATTACCTCCCCTATGTCAAAGGCTATAGATGCCTCAACCTTCTTATTGGTAAAATTGTCTTATTTAGGCATGTTAGGTTTCAAGAGTCTACTTTTCCCTTTTCTTCTATTACCTCTCTCCCTACCCTCATTTGTCCTCTTTTCAGTCCTTCTTTTGGTCTCCCTCCCCTACCTTGATATCCTCTTCCTATCAGCCTGCTTCTTCACCTACCACTACTGTTTCCCTCCACAGAATTTGTCCACATCAATTCAGCCTTGTCCTGCATCTCAGCCACCTCACCACTGGTCCTCACAGGCTTACTTCTCAGCCTACTTATGTGTTTCCCTCAGACTACCTGTACATTTGTTTACTGCTTTGAAAATGTTGAATTAGTTAATGTACTTGGTATCAAAATATGTAGTTTAACTGTTTAATTAATTGATGCAGGCAGCTTTTCTCTTTACGGTGGTAGGGACAACAGGCTTTTTGGGTGTTCTTGCTGGTCGGCTTCCTGGGGTAACTTCACATAATATCCTCTATCCTCTTTCTCTGTAGATGTTCTACAACATTAATAAACTGTCATAAGAATTAATTTCAAATTAATATTATGTAGAGTTCTGAATTTATCTTTTTTTAACCTTTCTATTGTTTATTTGATGTAAGTTTCAAAGAACAAAGGATAAAGGAAGTACAATTGTAGCTGTGGATTATGCTCATAGAAGCTTCTTTCATTCCTGTCTTATGAGATGGCTGCTTCAGTGACTTTTGATATGTTTTAATGTAAGTAATGATTCTAATGTCTTTAATGTTCTACTCATCTGGGTAATGAATAAAGATATTTGTTTTGCACTAATCTGTATTATGGTTAGGTTGTCAGACTAATGCATTTTATTTTATTTTTTTGTAAAGAGAATGGAAAGAAATTGAGGCATTTTCACATCTACTAACATTCTTATCCACATGTAATTGTCACATAGGATTGGGGCTTCTTCGTGCCATACTTGATTGGGAGCATTTCTTTAGTAGTTTTGGCTGTGGGAAGCATTTCACCTGGGTAAGTCGTTAGGCATTAACTACGTTATTTCCTTACTACAGGTTGTCTTGCATATGTCAACAAACCTTTCAATTTTGAATTTCCATGATGTTTAAATCAGAATATTGTATAATTGTTAGCTCAGTTGGGCACTTTTAAATTGTATAATGAATTATTGAAGAAGAGCACAGTTGAGGGCTGATAGAGACTTTTAGGATCCTTGTTCTAAAGATGGGAAGGGTAATGTTCATTATTGGCTATATTACAGTTAGTTCATTATTGTTTCTCTCCACGTTACCTTTCCCTGCACAAATCCCTTCCCAAATCCAAAATCCAAACACATCCTTAGGCTAATGAAGGGCATACCTTTGACCTTCTTGTTTATCCAGATTTCTGCCAGCATCCCTGCACCAAATCCAGCAACAATCCAGATTTCTGCCAGCATCCCTGCACCAACTTATAACAGAGTCACATGAGAAACAGAGACACAAAATTGCACCAAGATGGTTCAATATCAAATTTGAGACAAATATGTGCACAAACAGAAGGAGAGAACAGCATAAATACTGGAAATTTATGCAAAAGTTTCAGTTTTGCAGTTGAGAATTATGGATACTAATGGAAACAGTAATGCCATACAAACAAACTGATGTTGTAGCTGAGTTGTTCTTATCAATGGTTTGTTATTGCAGGCCACAACAATTTATTAAAAATTTTGTTGTTAACAATAATTCCAAAATTTGTTGGGGTAATGAGTATATTAAATGAACAATGGACTATTGAGAAGTTTGTTTTTGTATCATCATCATGTTCTCTTAGTTTATTAGTTACCATTGATTAACGAGCAATTTATTATTGAGTAGGCATTGTTGTGTCATTATTGCAGCAGTTACACTACTAATGTATGCGATGTTTATTAGTCATGGACGTTTGTTACGTAATGTAGGTACAATGGTTCCGGGAATCAAGATGGGGCGACGGAAGAGAGCAACAAGTGGCAACGTACTATCAACATCTGAAGCATGCGCACAGGAGATTGGCACCCCGATGACGTTCTCTGATGAGACGCAACCATCGGATGATACACAAACTGTGGTGGAGGAGACGCAACCAGGTGGAGTGGGTAAGAGCATACTATATAGTTGTTTAAAAAAAATTTGGTTTTGTTTTGTTTGTA